GGCGTTAAGCCTAGGACATAAAGCTTTACAAAATTTTGATGTGCTGGGACCCCACGGATCCAAAGTTAATTTTTGACAACTTGAGATCAAGGTCATAATTCATCCGCGTGGATCTCAAAACTGTGTTTACATTATCCACACTAATATTATAAATGCGAAAGTAACTCTGTCTATCTCTCTCGCTTTCACGCCAAAAGTACTGAACCGAATTAAATGAAATTTGTTACGACGAAGAAAGGACATAGGCTATTTTTTTAATTGGCAAAAGGGTAAAAGAGGATAGATATTTATTTAAGGGCTTCAACGCGAGCGAAGCTACGGGCGAAAAACTAGTTATTGATATCGCCATCTTACTTTCTTTAGGGAAAGAACTATTCAAAATCCTTCAACACACTACGACATATTAAGTGCAAATATAGTGTCGACTGCATACAGCGCGAGGAAACCTTGCCGATATAAGTCGCACCAGCAAAACACAAGGAACATTGTTTCATAAATGCCATTTAATGTCTATGGAACGATACAACCCGTTTTTCCGGTTAATAAATGTTTCCGAACATATTTTTGCACAGCGTTATTTAGCCTAAAGCTAAGCGAACGCGGTAAGTATAAGTACTAGGCCACAGATAAACGTGCATAGTTAGTATCCTTTTCTTTTATAAATCAATAAAATTGTAGACATTTAAACATGCTAACACTTGAAAAACACTACGCTCATCACACAATTCTTTTTTTTTTAAATTTATTTATTAGGTACAATTTTTTTTAATTTTTTTTTTCTTTTTATGGAGAAAAGGGGCAAACGAGCAGGAGGCTCACCTGATGGTAAGTAATTACCGCCGCCCATGAACACCTGCAACACCCGAGGGCTCACAAATGCGTTGCCGGCCTTTTAAGAAAGAGTAGCGAGAGACATCTTAATACAGTATCCACTACGCCAATCAGTAAATCATGCGGGGAAATGTTAAATTTTATAATTTTCAAGGTCGAATATAATTATAACACCAGACCAGTAATTGTATAATGCCTCTACTGCAGTGTGATTCGACTAATACAGAGAACTGCCTTTCATAAGACTATCTTAAAGAACAAGACGGCACACAAACAGGCACTTCTAGCGTAATCACCAATTCAGGGTGGTAGGGCCACGTCAGGGTGATAGGGCCACGCAGCAGCCTCGGCTGTTGCACGTATGGGCAGGCCCGTCCGGGTAAGTACCACGACCTCACAGAAGACCAGCGTAAAGTGGAAGTATAACAAATACTTTCGCGTTTCGTCTGGTGAGTGAGGTAGCCGGAGCCCAATTTTCAAAAGGTTGTCAACGCATCTGTGACCCTCGGGTGTAGCAGATGTCCATGGGCGGCGGTATACACTTACCATCAGGTGAACCGTATGCTCGGTTGGCAACTTTTCGCATAAAAAAAATATATCACCATCGACCAGAACAGAGAAGTCTCATAAGACTAGCTAAAGTACAGGGTGGCAGACCAGCAGGTAGTTCTAGCGTTAAGTCATCACAACAGCCCCTATGGACCACCCATGGGGTTGTAATTTTTATAATAATAATAATAATGAGTTTATGGGTTACAAAAATTACTTCTAGACTTTTAAGAGGATGGGCTGTGGTTACCTCACTGGTAACCCTTTTTTTTTTGTATCAGGGGGGAAATCTTCAAAAGATACCCTGTCACTTTACATGACAGGGTTATGTGGGGTTCTTACCCACTAAAACCCCCTCGGTGGCCGCCTTCTGTACATTTGGAGGGACTCCGGGATCTCCCATGGAACGTACCGGTGTCCCTCGGTACTACGCCTGAGCACGCCTCGGAGAAGGATAAACCTTCTCCGATCCCCTCACCCTCTTGCAGCAACACGAGACCACTTCGTGCTGCTGTCCATCCGTGTCCCCTTTTACGACAGGCAGGGGATACCTTAGCCCTATTCTATGAGCCCGGGTCTACAGGGCTGTCACTGGTAAACCTAGTTCTTCTTTACAGCGGTGCTTTCCCGCATGAGTCATCACATCGCGCCGAAGCAGGCCTCAGTTATCCCCCGTGTTTAAACAATTGAAACCAGAGCACTAATCAAGCCTAATTGCAACCAATTAAGAGTTTATCAAGCCACCGAAAATACTGAAGTGCACGTAAAACTTGTTTTAGCGATTGTAATTACTTGATTATCAACCTTGCTTGTTAAATTAAAAACCGGCTAGAATAAAAGCGAGGGTTTAAATATATATTAGGTCTTGAGTTGAACCCTTAAATAATTTTAATCCTAAACGTTTTTTCGAAGACCCATATAATTATGCACATTATTGTTATTATTGTAGTCTGCGAGGTTTAAATTGTTGGCACAAACCACAAGTTGTTGCTGGTGTAACGTGTTTCTAACGTAAATTCTTCATTGAAAACAGATGATAATAAAAATAAATAAAATCAGATAGTGTAACACCTGGAGACTGTTTTATGTCCATAACTTTGTTCTCTTTTCTTTGGTTTAATTCGTCAGTAGGGATTCGGAGTGATGCAGGTTATTATGTGACCAGTTTCTGACCATTATTCCTCAAGGTCATAGGTTGGACAAGCACAGAGGGAGTCCATCCATTCTTATTTTGAAGACCGCCGCGTTACATTCGGACGAAAAGATCATCTGCAAAAGAGGGGTAGTATCCGGCCAGTGTTGAGTTTTCCATTCCTTTGGTGAACGCATTTAAAACGAAGAATAGCTCGATGCTAGGCCTCGAGTGCTTGAAATCTTGATAGCAATCGGTGTTTCAAGCTTTTTTTTGCCGATGATGGAGATCAACACAGTATAAAATGCATTCTGTAGAAAAAACGATTGGCTGAATACCGTGCAGTCTTAATGTCAGAATGGGTTTAACCACTCAGTAACTCCCGATTAAATCATATTATATTATGGCTTTGAGCAAAACCCAAATATACAACTCACCCAAATATAGTAGCCTAAATATAACATTAAGAAAGACTGGACTTGTGCGAATAGCTTTATGAAATAGCTAGCAGTTAATAAACAAAATTGCCGTAATGTTAGTCTCTAAGATGTTAAAAGGTTTAAAGAGAGATAATACACTACGCCCGAGGGCATATTACAACCGTAACTGGATGCAGTCTTTATTTATGTGTAATATTTGTTTGAAAAAATATAAAAAATAGAGTGCTATTTACAAATTGCAATAATCATCTCTGTCAAATGGATTTAAGACTACTTTGTTTGTAATTTCAATTAAAGATTAAACATTTTAATTGATTTAAATGTAAGATGGCGATTGTAAGAGTAAATCAAAGTAAAGTAACAGCCCGTGCAGGTCCCACTGCTAGGCAATGTCCTCCTCTGTACAGAGGGTAAGTGCCCTAATACCCTCTGTACACCTCTATGTGCCTCTGTCTTTCTTTCTGTTCACCACGCGACCCCAATGCAGATTGATGTGTTGTGTATAATTGCATCAAAAAAAAAAAAAGAACAAAACCGCAGAGTTTCTTGCCGGTTCTTCTCTGTGCAGGTCTAGTTTAGTCAACCGGTGGTTGATTTTTTGTTGACGTTCAATAAGAGCTTAAGTTAGGCCTATATTGAATAAATATACTTTGAATTTGACTTTGATGGAATTATTTTTTTTATTATTATTACTAGCTACCCACCCCGGCTTCGCACGGGTGTATTATAGAATTATAGATATAAACGTTCCTCTTGAATCACTCTATCGAGTAAAAAAAACCATCAAGATCCGTTGTGTTGTTTTAAAAGATCTAAGTATACATAGGGATAAACAGAGTGGGACGACTTTGTTTTACACTATGTAGTGATTTCGAAAATATACAGGTTTCCTCACGATGTTTTTCTTTCACCGCTGAACACGTTATAATTCAGCACTTAAAATTGACAATTTCGTTGCTGTTGGTACCGGTATTTGAAGTCAGGTTGCTCGAGTACATACAATTAAAAGCGAGCGACCGGACACTGAGCTATCATGATTGTATCGCGATTGTACTGTGACGTAATCAGTTTGCTTTGGGAACCATACGTTACGTAGCGACAATTTCAGATTCTCGCATTTCTGAGTAATCGATAAGATTATAAGTAGGTAATAAATAATATAAGTAGTAATTTTTGTGTCGAAGAATTTTTTTTTATAATTATAATTCATTGCTCTAATCTAAATCTAGTAAGATTCATTCAATCTATTAAGGTGTCACGAAAGGGGAGCTCCGTCCGAGGAAGTACCACGTCCTCAAAAAGAAAAAGAAAAGACCAGTATGAAGAGATGAGCTCTTCGTTTCGTCTGGTGAGTCAGGGCCCACTTTATTAAAAGGTGGCAACGCATCTGCAACTCTACGCTAGTTGCAAATGTTTATGGATAATGGTTATCACTTAAGGTCAGGCGAAAAGCTCGATTGCTTAATAAAAAAAAAGCTTTTCATTAAGGATCTACATCAGTATTTCTTAAGATGCTGATATTTTTTGTTAAGTCTATCAAAATATATTTCACGGATTTGGGCTATAAACTATTATACTTAAAATTTAACGCACACATGTACTATACTAAAATATTTAGCGCCATCTACCAGTAGAAGTAGCGAACTGAGAATTTATGTTTTATAGAAGTCAGTAAGTGCATTAAATTTACATTAGATGGCGCTGTTTTACATTCCACTAATTTGACATTTGTTCGAAGTTTTGCACGGAACAAAACGCCAGTTCGGTAATGGCCGCTGACGGGGTGGTCTTGTCGCGTCGTTGTTATAGTGCGTGCATTTGTTGATTGTTTACTTCACATTTTACATTTCAACAGTGTTGTATATAATAGTGATAAGTGTAGTGACTTAAAGTTGTGCACAAAAATCGTATTGAGTCAACGAAACCGGTGTGTTTTGGAAAGTTTCAAGGCAAAGCGATGAGCGGTACGCTCACGCTGCGTTGAAGTGGGAATGCATCGTCTGGTGTAGTGTTGTTGTTTGTGTAGTGCCGTGGCGATCGCCGGCCAAATGTTTGGCTACAGGAGCACTATGTGCAACCGCCAACATACCCAGGCGTGCCTGAACACCTCGCTGTCGATACGGCAGGAGATACAGCGTTTCGAGAGCGTCCACCCGTCCATATACGCTCTCTACGACCTCGTCGAACTCGTGCCCGACCCGTTACTTGCACAGCAGATACGCGACCACGTCGTCGCTATCGAAGGTGGGTTGTTTTAGCCGAAGCCGGCCGGCCTCCGCGGAGCGGTTTCTACGGTGACCGCTTTCCGGCGTTCTCGGACAATCTAGCGATTTGTTTACAATGTTAAATGCACGCGCCGATGTTAACATTCAACAGTTGAAAACATACACGTGATGACATGCGAACGCTTGCAACAGATTTAATTTTACTTTAATGTTGATCGATTTATTAATAACGGTGCTCGTCATAATTTCTCCACTTGTAACTTTTATATACCTATAGGTTTATGACATTTGTAGCACATATAGATAATTCATAAAATTAAAGTACATATTGGAAAAAGGGCATAAATGACTACACGGCTATATATCACGATGTATTTAGTTTCTTATATTAATACCCTGAACAATATGCAATAACCAATGAATGGTATAAAGTTTATACATAAATAAAGTCCAAAACGTTACTAACGGTACTACACTGATACGTCTAAAAAAGGACTATTATCTATGTCGTACTCCCGATCTTACTTGCTTACTTTTTTTTAATAAAGGCTTAAGTAGTAAACTGTGTTGTGTTCTGTTCTTTTTTTTCTGTTGTTGCGTTTTTTCGCTCACGATTAAAAGGAACTGAAACGTTAATTTTTAATAAATTTCAACGCAAATTAACATTCCTAAATAGTTTACTTTGTTCTTTTTATTACATAATAATCCTTCGTGCATTACGGCACTTCGATGAACAACATTAAATATTTATTTTTTTTATTTTCTTTAATAGTGTTATGGCATTCTTTTATATGACCGGCATTCTTTTATAAACCAGATCCGATTTAAATGTAAAGGATACGGATAACGTTCACAATGAATAGGCGTTCACAAAATGACATTGATATATTTTATTTCAGGTTGTTTTTATTTTTAGGTGTTTTTTGGCATAAGTTAAAATAAATAATATAAAAATTATTAATGAAAAATTTAAAACGATTAATGCAAACCTTTCTGTTTTCCATCATAATAAATTCCACTCTCCCGCCAAAACCGCGACAGTGCGGTGGACGGACCGCGTTTTTTTTAATCGGCGAAGCGGCAACGGCACCCAGCGTACTGCCAAGCGCCTGCCATAATAAAAATTGTATCTCTCATCGCGGCAGTAATTGCGTATTGTACGCAACCCCCTTTTGTTTCTCAGGCATGAGTCCTAGTTTTAATTAAAATGACACACTGCCCCTTTTATGATATTCTCATATTTCCCCAGAACTGGAGCTTAGGGAACGTACCCTTATTAGTTGAACCCACATATTTTAATTTTTTTTAGAATCTTTACCCCTCTCTCCCCTCGGTGAACACCCGTAAAGAAAAAAATGAAGGTGAAATGACCCCTTTTGTATACAATTTTTTTTAATCCATTCTAATTTTATAAATGCGAAAGTAACTGTCTGTCTGTCTCGCTTTCACGCCAAAACTACTGAATCGATTTCAATGAATTTTGGTACACAGATAGTTTAGAGCCTGAGAAAGGACACCAGCTATTTTTTTAATTGGATAAAACTTTAAAATATATACATATTTTAAAGAAAGATATTTATTTAAGGGCTTCAACGCGAGCGAAGCCACGGGCGAAAGACTAGTTTTATATGCTATGAGATGTTGCCCGAGTATGTGTTACGTTACTCAAAGACGTTTTACAAACATAAATTTCACGTGGACAAACACCCAGATCGTAAACAACTATCCTTGGGTCACACAAATAGGTGTCCCGTGTGGGAATCGAACCCCCGACCACCGACGCCGAAGCCAATACCTTGGCAACTGCTCCACGGAGTCATGAAAATTGAAATTTATCATTAGCATTTGTAAGCGCACATACGGACATGCAGTACTACCTCTATTATGTATATGTAAGTTACAAACGTTAGCTATGAAAGGTGATTGTCGCTGCGTTGATTGTTGAACGATCGGTAACGATAATTGACTATTTGTTTTCAAATTATACGACAAGTTTATACGTCATTGCGAAGCTGATAAAATGTTTTCTTACGCTGGAAGAAAAATGAAAGTCAATCGAAGCACACAAATCTTTCGCAAATATGAAAGTGCATTGCATTATTAATGGAAACACTGTTTGTTGATCGACGCGTTTTATTTAATGTGTTGCTATTGCGTGTCGCTTAGATGTCAGTCAGCGGCGGTTGCACATGATTGGAGATAACTACAGTTTGAAATTGACAGAAAATAATCGTGTTGTTGTTATTGTAGGTAGAGTTTTAGACCGGCGTGCAGTGGAAGTATCTTGTATCTTGTATTAAAGGATGTTTGTGCTTTCAGTCCCGAGACTGTTAAAGCTTCATCTGACGCAGAACCGGCGGGCTAGCCAGAACCTACAGGTTTCGGCCCTCCGCTGTGGGTAGGGCCGCGCATGTGCTCATGCGTGCGTTGAATTATGTCGTGTCGTCTAAGGGCCATCGAGGTTGCGGTTCGGACCGGGACTCCGATGGCCGTCGACTGTGTTTTTAGCTAATCGTTGGCTGGTGCGGTGAGAACCGCGGGTGTACATTGTGTACGCATTCTGTTGGTCTCGCCGTACTCGGAGGCGAGAGCGAACTATTGGAATTTTAGATAATTTTATTACATGAAATATCGGTAAACCAATTTGGATGGAGTGTTTAGAAAACGATAGAAACTGAAAACTGGGTACTAATAGCCAGCTCTCTATAGTTATCTAAACAAGGAGATTTATTTCTTTTAAAACATCGCGATCCCTTGGTCTGTTAAACTTTAATGATCTAAAAACATTTACCTATGATTTGATATAAAAAAAGATTAAGAAAAATTACTAATGTGGTTAAATAGTAGCAAAGAAACACATCGAGAGCATGAAATAATAAATTTGAAAATAAATGTTTAACCATTAAGATGTAATCGTTTAGAATACAATAATTATTTTAACTACCCAAATTGACACCACAATACATGAACCTTATCTTAGTTCCTGTAATCCATCACTAGATGACGCTGCACACGTTCAAAGTCATCGTTTTACTGCAAATGAAGAAATTTTTTTTTAACAATAAATATAAATTATTAGATAAACTACTTTAAATATATTATAATTAGAAAATACAAAGAATTGGATTATGTACTATTGTAATTATTTAATAAGCAAAACGGAATTTAGTACATGTAATTCGTCAACAGATGGCGAAACGTGTATTAAAATTCAACCGGTGCCAATATCTATAAGGAGTAGCAGGTTTTTTAAAGGTTCGGTCTGTTAATTTATTTTTATATATGACAAAACGGACTTCGTTTTTGTTAGTCGGTACAAAAAAAAAAACGCTTAAAAACGATTCGTATTATAAGGTCAAACAAAAAAAAGCTTATACTGTATATCGTAGAGAAATCCGTCGGTTTGGATTTTTTGTAATTGTACAGTTATACATATATTATATAAAAGATAGTTATTTATTTGATATAATATCTGAAGTAAGGATTAAGCTTAGAGTAAAATTGGCGAAAGAATGTAAGTATTTTTTAATTTTTAGTTCAGCTTATGTTGTCAAAATTGTTTGTCTGTTAAGTATTCAGTACCTGGAGGACCAAGCTTTGCTCGGTTTTTTTTTGGTAAATCATGTATTTTGAAAAGAAAAAAAATAAAAATAATGAAAATGATCTGAAAAAAGTAAAAAAAATAAGTGTGTAAATGATCGTGATACGAACTGCGGCCGTCTGTTTTGGGGCCGCCCGATTACCGACCGAGCTATTATAACAATTTAATATTAACAATATTTTTTATGCGGCGAAATTTACTGTCATATTCAAATAATATTATTCATTCCCTGAAAACGGATAGGGATAAAAGGACATTTTCTAAAAATGAAACCAAGCTAGATCGATTTTTCGCCCCCGAATCTACGCACATACTAAATGATTCATGAAAATCGCTGGAGCCGTTTCCGAGATTCCGATTATACATTATATATACAAGAATTGCTCGTTTAAAGGATAGGATTTGACGATTGTGACACTATGCTAAAAAAATCTCGCACCCGACAAGTAAGCTATCGAGACGGTGTCGTTCCAAGAAATTTCACGCGAGTGAATTTTTTTTTTTAGCGAAATGCCAAACGAACAGACGGTTCGTCTGGTGTTAAGTGAACACCGCCGCCCATGGACATCGGGTACACCCTAGGGTTCCAGATGTGTTGACAACTTTGAAAATATTAACATACGAATATTGTTCAAGACACAAATTTCACGCGGACAAACAGCCAGATCCAAAACAATTATGTTTGGGCCATACAAATAGTTCTCGTATCTAGTAATCGTACCCACGACCTTCGGGGCCGAAGAGAATACCTTGACGACTGCGCCAAGCACTCGTCAAGAAACAATACAATGGTGGTTAGCAGGGTTGTGTTGGTTGGCCTTTAAAGAAGTATTCATCCATTATAAATTAATATCTGAACCTGTTGAATTAATAATACGTGACGCGTTCGTGCTATATGGAATCCCCGAAATGTCAGCGGCTGGGTGGGGGAGCAGCGGAGGCGTTTAATTCACGTCACCTTTATTATCACTGGCAATACGATAAATTGAGATTCGTTGATTAATATAGGACGGCCAAGTCGAGCGAGACAGGTGGGCCGTAGCCCGGAGTTGTTTTTAATGTGACTGAGCTGGCACCCCTCCGTCAATCGTCACCGGAATAACTAATAGCTCATCGGATCTCGTGCAACATTAAAGCCCGCCTTTGACTCCTACTACTGAATTGCAGCATTAATTCAGTGACGTTCAGGCGGGGAATTTCACGTCCCTTCGGCGATAAATTATTCTTTGTTACATCGGCCCGATGAGGTTGATATTTAATTTACGGAGTTTCGTTCAACTTTTGAAAACTTCTTGTTATCTCAACACGAGTGTGTCAAATAAAAAATTCATTGGTAAAACCGTTTTCTTTGTTGAAAATATTGTTCTTCGTTACAGGAATTTTGTACATCTTTACGGATAGGTATCCAGAACCAACGCCTGTAATTACTTTAAAACATTTACACATCCACAAATCTCAATTCTATATAATATATTATTAGTATATTGGGTGTCCCAACCTATCTTCCCTTTAACTTTGTCATGCTACTTGAATGACACATTGTATATATATACGCGCATACTATAGATTTTTATGTATGTTCGTATAAAAATGTTTCACTTGAGACACAAACAGCTGGCATCTATCCGCTGTCAGAATAAAAAGTGGGTGACACCGGAACGCACTCCATCCATTAATCGAATCTGGCTTATAGAAACAAAGAACAATATTATTGCACTATAATTGTAAACGGTTTACATGTTTACATGTTTTATGTGTGTTAATATTTTATTATAACGTTAGACTAGTTACACTGGACAACGCGATTTATTTCAAAATAATTTCCAAAGTAATGTTACCACGCAAAGTCTTTCCATTCATTTTCGTTCCGACGTAAAGTTTTCATCTCGTAGTTTTCTTTTTCATAACACAAACTAACTATGCAAAAACTCCATAAATTGCATCCGGTAGCTGGGGCGCAATTTTAATCAGCGAGTTGCCCGTTAGACCGGAAAATGAATTACGCCCATCCCATTTTGTCGGTGTCGTGTGTTGATCGTGTCGCTCACGCGTTAAAAAAAAGCTTTCAAAGCTCGATGGCAATCATTTCGATGGCTGGTGTTCTGGAAAAATGATTGATCATATTGATGCGCCGGGCCCTTGATAGATTAATAAAATAAAGTACATGTTTTTTTTCCTTCTTTTTAAAAACACTGCCCTTACTGTGGATAACATTATACTGTGTAAGGACGTTTTAAAAACTAACATTTCTCGGCACCAAATTCCGAAACAGTTACCTAGTTGTCCCGTGTGGAAATCGGAACCGCGAACCACGGTGTTGAAGCCAATACCTTGACCTCGCCACGAAGACATCAAATTTAAATAAAATATGAAATTGTGATCCTGCAATTATACTCAGGGTAAGCAGAACCCTCGAATATCCAGAGCTGGAACTGCTGGAAGTTATCTCTGGTTCACATAATAGTTATTTCGTGTGGGAATTGAACGCTTGATCTACGGTGCCGAAGAAGATTAGCAACTGCGGCAGTGAGTCATCGGATCTATCAAATCGTCTAACGTAAAAACAACAAATGGTGACAAAATGTTTTTCATCTCCGGATAA